CTCTGAGACCCGAGGAGCCCGGGACACTCGCACCCGTCCCCGCCCCCCTCCTCTGCCCCCTCCTCAACCTCTTCCTCCTTGATCTTCTCCCCCTCCGCCCTCCTCCTCGTCCAGCCGCTAGCCGCCGATGCACCGACCGCGCTGGCGGCGATGACGGAGATGACATTGATAAGTGGTCGACGCCGCAGATGACATTTACGACGGGGTCCATGGCGCATGCGAGCCCCTGGGCAACATATGCAATAAATGCGGCAGGGCATATATATGCAAATAAATGCGGCACGCGCAAAATCACGCGCCAGTGCCACATGTGTAAATGAAAGGATATAAGAGGGCCAGGGCGTAACTCGGGGCAACCCCGGAAGCGCCCCGCCCCCCTCGGACGATGCACAGAGAAAGAGAGAGAGAGACAGAGAGAGAGAGAGAGAGGGAGAGAGAGACACAGAGAGAGAGAGAGAGACTGAGAGCGAGAGAGCAACGCAATACGCGCCCCTTGTGCGACGCCGATTTACGCTGACCATGAGCTAATTGAGCGCGAGTGCACAGTGGCACCGCGGCACCGCCGCTGGCAGGGCGCGAGAGCTACGAATCAACGCGCATCCTGAACATGACCCTGCGCGGCAGCTGCCCCTGTAGATGCGGAGGGACGCGCTCCAGGCCGCCATTGCAAGCGGGCCACCGCGAGCAACCGAGCATGGGCTCCCCGCGGTAGAGGCTCTGCTGTGGAACAACCAGCCGACGCGCGAATCCACATAAGGTGCAGCGGCCCCACTTCACCTGGCGCAGCCGCCGCGGAGCGCGCTGCGCTGGGATGGCCCCCAGCGGAGCTGCCGCCGTTGCTCCGCGCGATGCCCCCGCCTCTGCCGCCGGCGCCGCCGCTGTCGCAGCCGCCGGCGGCACAGCCTCCAAAGCGCCGCGCGATGTCTCCGCGCCCGACGTCGCCGCACCCCCACGCGGCGCTGCCACCGACGATGCCGAGACCGCCAGCGAGCCGGCGGCGCCATTGCCACTGCCGCCTGCGGCGCCGACATCTAACCACGCCGCTGGGCACCCCGGCGCTTCCTGAAGAGGCGGTCGAATATATTTTTGACTTGCAGCGGCAGCGGCAGAGAACGCCGCGGCCGTGGCTCTTTCCGAATACCCCCCGATGTTTTGGGGGATCGAAACCGCAAACGCCGAAACCGCGGCGCTTCGATCTCGACGCAAGGACCGCGACAGTTCTACCGAAACCCCCTCAACGAAAACTCCTGGCCCCCCTGACTGCACCCGCCCCGCCTTGCACCAGTCCTGCATGGGGAACATTGCCAACAGGCAGGGGTTCGGCGCGTCCGCCTGCGCCATCCGGCGCCGCTTCCACTCGGGACCCCCCAGCGACCCCAGCGACGCCCGCGCAGGAACTGCATGCTCTGGCGCCGCTGGGTCCGTCGAGCAGCAGCCGGCGACTTGGTCAGCCCAGAGCGCTGCTCCTGGCGGCGCGGCAATAAGCCGAGGCGCAGGTCGCGCCGCCTCCTCGCATCGCAGGTCCGCGCCCACCCAATCTTGCATCATCATGCGAGCCGCCCGCGGGGACGGACACGACGAAGGAGGCGCCGACAGGAGCTCCTCCTCGTCGGAATCCTCCGCGCCCACTGACATGGCCGGCGGCTCCGCTGGGCGCTGCTGGCCGAAGGGCTGGCCGAAGGCTTGGTGGCCGCGCGGCTTGATGATGAGATTGCGGGGCAGGCCGACCTCGTCCTCGTTCCACTCGCTGAGTCGGAGCGGGTAAGCCCTGGTTGCTGCGTCCTCGTCTGACGCTCTTCTGGAGGCAGCAGCAGCACAGCCGAACAGGCGAGAGCCTGTCTGCGGCAATTGGGCTGGCAGGGGCTGCGTTGGAGACGGACGCTCAGGCAGGCCAAGCCTGATGTCCTGCAGCGGCGCGACACGCGGCGGCGAGTGTTCCACCTGCCTCTCTGATACCGTTCCGCCTTGCGCCAAGAATTTTGTCTCGGCGGAAGCTCCTGGGAACGCCAGTGTCTGAGCGTGCCCGCGGTCACCAACCGCTGTCGCCCCGGGCGATGGCTGCGTCGCGGGAGGGACGGCGGCGCCCGCCTCCGTGACGTAAACGGTCACGGCGCCGTCGCGGACCGCCCCTGGCGGAAGATGTTTGGGAGTGTCCGCCGCGCGCAACACAGCTCCATGACACTGAAACTGAACCTCCGCTTCGGGAGCGCCGTGCTCCACGCACCAGCGTCTCATCACTTTGGAAAAGGGAGCTCCCGACCTGAGTTCGAAATGCATCGGGGGCGCGTTGTCGGCAAGCACCGTTACGGGCACGAAGACGAGTTCCGCCTCCAACGCGGAGACGCGCTGGCGCAGAGCCGCCACCTCGGCAGCCCAATCCGCAGCCATGAGCGGCGACAACGACGGAACAGAGACAGGCGCGCGGCCAGTGGGCTCAGTCTGGGCCGTTGCAGAATGTCCGACGGGAACGAAATCATAACCTGCCGCGTCAAGATCTCCGATTGTCGAATCTACTGCCCCTCTGCGTTCCCTATGCGTAAATTTATATGTTGTCCATGGCAAACGAAATCTCCGGGGGAGGCGCTCACGGGCCCGAGCGGACCCTGTCCGCGGCGGAGGCTCTCCCATAGAGAATCTGGCCCAGATTCCCCACGGGAGACCATCCGCCGCGGACGGAGCTCTCGGAGGCCCTCCGACGGACCCTGTCCGCAGCGGGTGATCTCCCGTGGAGAATCTGGCTCCGATTCCCCACGGGGGAACATCCGCCGCGGATCGAGCTCTCGGGGAGCCCCCCCCAACGGGCCCTGCCCCGGAAGCGTGCAACACCTCCCCGGGAAGCGTACAACATCTCCCCGGGGGCCGTAAAACACTTCCAGGTGCCGTATAACACCTCCCCGGGCTGTATAACACCTCGCGTGGTGTCCCGAATGCCTCCCAGGGCCAGTTCAACACCTTTCGGGGCAATTCTAACACCTTCGCCAATACAACTCCCATGCGGGGGCTTTCTAACACCTTCGCCAATACAACTCCCATGCGGCTCCAATACGCGGTCGATACATGATCGGAGCGCGGCCCCCTGAGCGCGGCCTCCCTCCCGCCCTCTCCCCCTTCTCCTCACCGCCCTCCTCCCGCGCGCCGGGGCTTCACGGGGAGCGTATAACAGCTCCCGTGCGGGGCACGCGCCAGCCGCGACGTTGGGGCTTCCGCCCCCTCCGCCAGACCCCGCGATCTGTGCGAGGGTTGCGCGGACATGTGCGAGATCAAACGGGCCTAGGGCCTCCCATAATTTCGGTGTCCCAGGCGGCCACGGCCCCGCCGTGACACCAGATCTCCTATCCCTTGTTCTCGTCATCCTTTTCCCTGCGCCGCATCTATGCAGAGGCTGCGCCGCCCCCTATCCCGGCTTAGGGCTATAGGGCTCAAAGGCTTTAAGGCTATAGGGATGTAGCGCTATTGGGCTATAGGTTATATCGCAGGTTGTGCTATAGGTTATCCCACAGGTTATGCCATAGGCTATGCCATGAGTTGCGCCTTGAGGGTCGGCTGCGCCACATGTTTTTTCGTGCCTTGGATGATCTCCCATTGGTTGCGCCACAGGCTGCGCGCTTGGCCGCCGCCTGGCAATCTTGGTTGCGCCAGTGGCTTGAGGACTTCGCTGGGAACCAATTTGGGGCCATGGGATCGTGGAGGGACGGTTTCCTTAATTTGCCTGGCCGCATCAAACAATGCCGACAGCAGACTCGATGCATGTGAAAAAATACTGATCCGCATTTCCCTCGACCAACTGGCAACAATAAAACGATTGTACAATTAAAACGTTGGTTTGTTTTCCAGCCGCTATGAGCTGGAACAGTCGTAGCGCTCCGCCTTGTGCGTGACTGTGAAAACCTCCCTGGTGTCTGTCGGCGTCTGGTAATTCTCAGGAGCCTCCAAGATCTGTCTGAACACCATCCCCACCGCGGGCGGCATATCCGACAATCTCTGGTACGTGTGCGAAAACTTCAACGACATGCTGCGACCACCGGGGCTGCCCACCGCTTCTTCCTCGACCAGCTTCGTCTTTTTCTTCTTGCGCTCCTCCCGGCTGTCGGCGCTGCGCTTCTGGCCGCCCGCTGGCTTCTGGCCGACCTCGGGCGGCGGCTCCTGGAGGACTTCTGGCGCCTGCTGGCCGACCTTATGCGGCTGCTGCGTGCCGATCTCACGGGGCAATGCCGACACTGGCGGAGCCGATGCTGACGACGTCCTGCTCGTCGACGGCGTAGGTGCCTGCGCCGCTGCTGCCTGAGGCACTGGCGGGTCATCATCGACGATGTCGACGGGGCCGACGTTCTCGATCTTCTCCTTCATCTGGGTGCCCATGGCGTCCTCGTGGTTGAACGTCGGGAGGACGAGGCCGCCTGCCGTAGAATCGTATTGCTCGGGCAAGGTTTCATTCTGGCTAGCCATCGGGCGCTGGGCCCACTGCGTCGCTGGCAGACGCTCGAACGGCTTGAGACCAAAAGTCTTACGGATCTGGAGTAAGTGACGCGTTTTGCGCATTGTCTTACAATGGGTGTAACATGGGTTTACTCGCGTGCGTGTTGTCGCAGTCGTTCCGGATGCATGTTGCGGTTTGCGTGTTGCCGCCTTGCTTTCTGCACTTCGCTAGAGTGGCTGTTTTAGGATGGGCGGGTGGGGATTCGCGAAGCTGGCTCCTTTGAGGCGCTCATGGGGCTCTCTTGGGCGCTCTTGGAGCCATCTTGGAGGCCATCGGTAGCGATGATCATGATGACGAAATGGCGATGATCATGATGACGAAACGTGTTTTGGGCTTTGACGCCAGGTGGCCCCCGGGTTCTTCAAAACACTTTCCGGGGGCAAGAAATCCCGTTCCTCCTCCCTTCCTCACCCTCCCTCCCTACGTCGTCAGAGGGAGGCGTTGGCGATGGCGATGGCGATGGCGATGGCGATGGCGATGACGATGGCGATGACGACAGCCTCCCTGGTTGACGGCCGCGTCGTCAGTCGACCCCTGGGACTGCAATCCCCGCAGCACGCAATCGGGCCAGCAAATCGGTCTTGCTGCCGTAGTGCGGGATGCCCTGGCCCTTCGCCAGCGCGCGCAGCACCTGGCCCTTCGCCAGCACGCCGCCCTGGCTCCGCCCGTGCGCCTCCGGCCGCGCCGCTCGCCCCTGAGCGGCGGCTGCCCTGGCATCGTCGAGGCCGGCGGGCGGTTCCGCCAGCCACGGCCGCTGCGACAGGCGGCGCCCCGCCCCTTCCGCCGCTTCGCCTGGCCGCGCCGCCTGGCGCGCCGCCACTACGCCGGGTGCCGGCGCCGCCGCGAGGGGCGTCGGCTGCGCCCCTTCCGCCGCTTCGCCTGGCCGCGCCGCCTGGCGCGCCGCCACTACGCCGGGTGCCGGCGCCGCCGCGAGGGGCGTCGGCTGCGCTGCAGGGAGGCACTTCGGCGGCGCCGCCGCCACGCGGCGCCGCTTCATGACCTGTTCGGCGCCGCCACTTGGCCCTGCGACAGCTGGCCTTTCGTCAGCTGGCCCTGCCTGATCGGGGCCCTGCAGCTGGCCCTGCGCCCGGAGCCGGCTGAGCAATTCTGCGACAATTCCGGCGCCCAGGACGGAGACCAACTCCTTGCCCGAAGTGCTCCGTACTGCCGTCTCCAAATACTGCGCATCTTCGAGTATATGCTGCGTCATTGGCCCCGCTGGCGGCCCCGCGTCAGCGACTGGGGGGGGAAGTGGGCTCGGGGCATCCCCGGCACCGCCTCCCCCCCGGACCGCGGGCGGCGGATCCGCCGATCTCGACAACGCAGCGCCATCGGGAGCCGCCATCGGTCGCGCCTGCGGGGCTCTTGGCGCGGGCACCCCGGCCTGCGACAATTGACACCCCTTGCCGGGCGAATCGCCCCCCGCCTCGACGAAGTCCCCGTCGCATTCGTCGGGCGGCAGGCAGGCTTCCGACGGCCGCGGCGCTGGCGCCTCCGAGGGCCCTGTTTTTGGGCGGCCCGATCGGCGCTGCCTGCGATACCTTGGGACGTATTCCCTGGTGACGCCGTTGGCGCAGGCGCGGACGTACTTCCCGTACTCGCACCAGAGAATCTCCGCGCCGAACTCGTCGCAGCCCACCCGCTCCGCCAGCGACGACAAAGACCACGGCTCATCCAGGAATAACTTCTTGGCGGCCGCCAAGCCTTTCCGGGCCCCGGTCTCCATGGGCGCGGTGCTCCCGTCAAGGACAAGTCCGAAGTGGACGAGGTCCTTCGCAACCTTGCAGGGGAGCGAAGGGCGCTTTTGGCAACAAAAACCTGAAAAAATGGTCCCCGGGGCCGCCCCAACGCGCCAATTTTTCATGCTGCGCCCGGCTGCGGCGTTGACGAAGGCCCCCCCCTCTGCCCCCACAAAACTCTGAACCTCGAGAGGGCGATCGAAGCGGTGGACAGGGCAACGTGCCTCGCCGGCACTGAACGGGGAGACGCGGGCGCCGTCGAGCGAGACGTCGGCGACGAGACGTTGCTTGATGAAGTCCCGCGCCTGCAAGACCGTGTTAAAGGGGACGCGCCCAGCAATAGCGGCAGCGGCGGGCCAAAGCTGCTCCGCGAGCTGCGCCTTCGGCACGACGTTCCGGCACGGCGGTAGTTCACCCTTGCACTCCCGCGTCAGCGGTGCCAAGACGTCCCGCTCCAAAGATCCGCCCTGGATGGCGGCCGCGAACCGCGCGGCAGCCCCCCGCGCGGACTGCCTGTACCGCACAGCGATGCTGAGCGCGACCTTGTCCTTCGTGTCCATCCCCTGGGCGGCCTGCAGAAGCTCCTGCGTGACGGCGTGCTCGGCGCGTCGCTCGTCCAGGCTGCACTGGCGGTTAATGACGTCGTCGTCCGTCCAAGGCCACGACTGGCCCTGCGGATCCGCCCGCCGCCCCGCGTGGGCCCGCCGGAGCGTCGCTATGAATTCTACTGGGTCCTTGGGCGCGACCCCGGAATCCAGCCGGGCAGGCCTAGCGGTGCTATCGCCGGCGCCTCGGGGCCGGGTGGCGCGCTTGGCTTGGAGCCCCCTGCGCAAAGCGGCCAGCTCACCGCGCAGGGCGGCCAGCTCCCCGCGGAGCTCGGCGCGCTCGGCCCGGAGCTATCGCCGGCGCCTCGGGGCCGGGTGGCGCGCTTGGCTTGGAGCCCCCTGCGCAAAGCGGCCAGCTCACCGCGCAGGGCGGCCAGCTCCCCGCGGAGCTCGGCGCGCTCGGCCCGGAGTTCCGCTCGCAACGCGGCCAGTTCGCTGCTGGGGGGGCCCTCCAAGCCCGCGGCGGGCGGCAGCAAGGGCCCTGCCGCTGGCTCCCGAGGCCATCCCTTTGGCCGAGGAAGGCCGCCCAGGCACGGCGGCAACGGTGGCACCTCTATTGCCATGGATGCTGTCGCCGCGCCCGCCGCGGACGACGACGACGACGACGACGACGAGGGGCTTGGAGAAAAGAGAGCCCCACAACAGCGGCGGCAGCGGCGACGACGGGGAGCTCGGGACAAGGGCGGGCGCCCCCGTTGAGGTGCGAGCGTCGCCGCCGACGCCGCCGCCAACGACGACGACGACGGCGGCGACGACCACGACGCCGACGGCGGGGGGTTCGGGGCAGAACGGGGGGTTCGGGGTAGAACGCCGGCCCCATTGACGACGACGACGGCGATCTCTGCCCCGACGAGTCGGAAATCTCTGGGGGATAATCTGCCGGATGTGTTTTCGGAACTCCTCGGTTTCGGGAACCGTTGCGCCGCCCCGGGACCTCGAAACAGCCGGCCCCGGCGACGATGAATGCGCCGACGCCGTTGGCGGCGGCGGTGAGTAGTAGCAGCGACGACGACGGCGGCAGAGAGGAGGAGGAGGACGACGAGGAGGAGGAGGAGTAAGAAGAGGAGGCCGCGATGGCGAGAGCAGGCGCGCCATCTCAGCGACGAAGTCAGAGAGACAGATCCTGCGACCAGAACAAATGAACGCAAGTAAAAGCCATGTAGACGGACGAATCAAACACATGCAAGTAAATGCGCCGCGCAAGTTTATTGGCGGGAGGGCATGGGAGGATTGAAAAAAGCAACTCGGGGCAACCCCGGAAGCCCTCCCCCGCGACGGGTAAATTGCCGCGCGGCGCAATGCAAAAACAAAGCGCGGGGGCGCGACTCGGGGCAACCCCGGAACCCCTCCCCCGCGACGGGTACACTGCCGCGCGGCGCAACGCAAAAACAAAGCGCGGGGCGCGACTCGGGGCAACCCCCGGCAGCGCCCCCCCTGGCAGCACCTACCACTCGGGATGGAAGCCGAAAGCTGCATGCTTGGCCTCCGCTAGTTCGCGAGCCTCGCGAGGGGCGCGCAGCCGCCGCGCTGCGGGGAAGGACGGATAGGAAGGATAGCAGCGGCGAACATGGATTCGCGGACTGCACTGGCGAAGGGTCGCGGGGATCCCCGAGAGTCTCTGCCAGAGACCCTCCGCGCAGCGGACGAGGAGGGTTTAATCTCCTGGGCCCCGGGAACTCGCAGGGCCCTCTAATCCCCTGGGGCTCGTCCACGGCAGGATGTCTTTGGCGGGCGCGCCCCAGGCCCACCAGGGACCGTCCTCGCCGCGCGACGGAGGGGGCAACTTCAGCAGAGAGGGGCAGCTTAAGCGGACAGGCGGCGGCAGGCGGGCCACCAATCGCGGCAATCGCCAGATTCTCCACCGCGGACGGTGGCCTCCTCCTCCTCCTCTTCCTTCTCTTCCTGCCCCTCCTCCTCTTCCTCCTCCTCCTCCCCCTTCTCCTCCTCCTGCGCAACCCCGGGAACCCTTCATTGAAACGTAACCCGGTGAGCCTCAAAAAA